CAGACCCCCAAATCCAACGTCTGAAAGGTGTGTGTGGGGGGAGGAGGTTTCCAAAGTATACATAGAAGAGTAGATTGACCACTTTAGCCATGCTAGTGGTGTGGGATGATACTGTCGGTCTGTCCTTAGGTGAGTCAATCGACTATTGGATTGGTACATGCCTGTTCACCCAGAGGATAAGCCAATAGACTTTGGTGATCCCTTGACTTTCATTTGAAATTTTCTAGTTTTAGTGGACTGCTTGACAACTGTTTGTTAGATAATCAAGATATTGTTAAAAAAAACCCACCTCATTTAATGCAAAAAACTGTTTGCAAAATTTCTTTCAAAGTTTGCCACTTCCATCAACCTTTTCTAATGAGATACTGAAATGAACAATAAAGTCATTGAAGTTGAACTCTCCCTTCCACCCATATGTATCTCTTCTCCTCTTCTCCTCAGTCAAAATTTTAATGTGGCCCCTCCATCATCTCCTCTCCTCTCTTTGTCCCTCTCCTCCTTCCAGCCTTTCCAGTGCAGTGCTAGCTAAAGATAAGAGTCCACACACTCACACACCGTGCGTGACACGAATGCACACCTACACCTTATTCTCTGAGTACTGACCACCCAACACAAATACACACACACACACACACACACGTGACTAACTATGTGGACGCTGTATTTTATGTGTTTTGTGTCCTTGACATTTCTGTAATTACCTTTGGGTAAAAATATCAAAATACTGCGAGCACTCATGAAATGCTGCAACAAAGGGGTGTAGGGGTCCTGCTCGCCTCTCAGACAGCCATCCAGACTAAGAGGAGAGGGGATTTGGGGATGAGAGCTGCTCCTGCATATTTTACAACCTGTTCTGCAACCATCTGCTCCCTGACACACTCACATATGCACAAACACACACAAGAATACAATCTAGCACAGTCAAGCCTACCTTCCAGGAATGTGCCTCGATTTAACAGACATTGGACCTGCTAATATATGTGCAAACAAAGGCATAAACACAAGCATAAACACACAAACGTTCATACTGCAGAGTTAGGGAAAGGGTTGTCATTATCTAATACGCCTCTCAGCAGCTCACACCTATCATAACAGTACCTTAAGCAGATTGCCATGGGAACACAGCAAACCAGTCGGAGCGGTCAGACTTTACTCAGATGACCTTTATGCCCAACAAGAGCCAACTGCGGTTAACAAACCTGCTGTGGTCTCACTTAATAACAGCTTGTACTGCTGTGACCTTTGGACACACTGTGTTGTAGTAAATCAGCTATTTGGTTGAGATACATTTATGCAGTTTGGCAAGAACCCTAAATCCATTTTAGATCATGACTCAATAACAATATCCTACTGATTCACGTCTGAGGAACTAAAAATAGATTGTTTTCCACCAAAGAAACTATTTAAGCCATATTTGCCAGTGAAACAAGCTATTTTGAGCCCAGGCTGTGGAGACTTTGTTGCAGTTTAATTTATTGTGATTACATTTACATATTTTGGCACTGTGTCTTAAATTAAGCTTTTAAGTCAAGCACAGACTCAATGGGAAAATAGCAGAATGTTCTTGATTGAATTTCTGTGGTCCAATGCCCTTTAATGGAGGCCAGTGACCTTTAATAGAGGACGTTATTAGAGAATGTTAGCAACGGAGAGAATCTGTTCATTCAACATGGCACCCGTTGTACAATCTGATCAAGCCCTCTGATCTCTCTGGTTCTGATATATTGTAACAGCTGTGAGCTGCAATTATACGAGACACAAGAGAGAGAGAAACACAGCAAGTTTAAAGGATAATTCTGTGTTATCAGAACTTGGGCCTTATTATTAGAGCTTTGGCCGTCATTCCTATTGGTAATAATAACCTTATACAGGCAAGAAACACAAGTCAGTCAGATAATCAGAAAGGTTAGCAAACTTATCTGGAAGATGAAACGTCCCTTGTTTACAGACCTGCCAGGTTCAAGTTTCTTTACCTACAAAACTTACTATAGCTGTTGGCCTTAGAGCCATACTAGTAGTGACAAATTTTAAATATGTATTCATGTCCTCCTCACGATGAATTGTAAGAACTTTAGTGATTCCTTAAAATTGGGTATGTCATTGACTTTTAACTGTTCTCATTAGTATTTTATGATCTGGGAGCACAAACTCCACATTGAACAATCATTCAATCCACTTCTATCATCAGGTAAACATTTTAACAGGTCCAATACTTTGGTCTATGACCAAATCCCCGTCAGTCCGTAGTAACCATCAAATCTTAACTTGATAACACGATGGTTAGATCAAAGTACCACTGTGCCTGAGTAGAATCAGTCTAGGCTCTAATTATGGCAATGTCAGTCTGTCAGTCAGTCCACGACTTCATTTCAAACTGAAATATCTCAACAGTTGCTGAATGGATTGCCAGTGCATTTTGTGCAGACATTCATGGTGTCAAGAGAACGAACTCCAATGACTCTGGTGATCTTTTTATCTAGAGCCACCAACAGGTCAAACTTTTCACTTACTCTAGGAAATATCTCAGAATTTACTGGATGGACTGTTACAAAATTTGGTTATTTCTGGTTTTATCCCTCATGTTTTCCTCTTTACTTTGTCCAACACTATGGTTTATGACCAAATACCTAAAATGAAACTGTACTTTTTGTTTAGTGCTCATTAGAACATGTCAGCATGCTAACATGCTAAACTAAGGTCTGTACAGAAGTAGGATCAAAGCTTTAGTCTTGTTACAACCTGCCTTGTTACTGCTAACGTCTCTTGCCTTGTCACACGTTATATATGATCTCACCATGTTCAAAGATCTCGGCAGTTACTTTGGCGAGCACAAAATTATTACAATCAACAGAAAAGATGGCTATCACAATGAAAACAAGGCCCAAAATGTAATAAACTGGAATTATTATTTTAATACCTACTGAAAGAATTACAATGGGACTACAGTACCCTCTCCCTGTCTCACCATGTCTCCATCTCAGTTTCCCTGCCAACCTAACTAGACAACAGTCTTCTTCTTTTGTGGCAGTGGTTGTGCAGCAGTGCAGTGCTGTGGACGGTGGATGGATCGCGGACGGTGTGGAAGAGCTGTGAAAGACAAAGCCACGACAGAGAAAACAGGTAACAGCATGTCCAGCGGACTGAAGGCTGATGGGAGAGAGGCAGGGGGGCGGGGACGCGGGATGGGGCCCTACCTCCCGTGATCATTGAACTTAGAACCCTAGCCACCATGGTGGGTGGTCGTGGTCGGTGGTGGTGGTGGGGGGTTTAAAGGGACACACAGAACATGCTGGAAACTCTGTACCTTTCAATGTGCCTTCAGAGAGGGCCCAACTCACCCCCGGAACCAATAAATCTAGAGGAATGAGACCGTGTTAGTCAGGGAGAAGCAGAAGAAAGCAAGGAAGGAAGATGGAGAGTTAGAAACAGGAGAGAGTTAAAGAGAGAGAAAAAGGGAAAGAGGGATGGAGTAAGGCCAGAAGGAAGTGATGAAAAGATTAAGCTGGTTTATGTTCCTACGTCTTTCCAGTGATTCTGAGTCCAGTTCTTTGGATTGACACTTTTTTGTTTTGTAACAATCAGGAAGCCGATGACTCTCAAACCAAAGTAGACGTTACAAACTCCTTACAAATCGCATTCTGTTGAGATACACCAGTAAGTTGTCTCCTTCTATGAGCAACCGTAACATTTTTGTGTTGCTTTGCTGCTAATAAACCAACATCTAGCCAATTTTTAAACCCTCATTAGTACTGTGTATGAAAAAAGGTTTCCTGGCAAAAAATACTAAGCCAGAAACAAACAAACTTTCCCACCAAAAGTGAGATAAGAAAAAAACAAAATGTAGAAATATGAAAGGTTTTGTGTGAATTCGAGAAAAAGGGACGGGCCTCTCGAGATATAAAGTGTACATGTGTTCAGACTGAGTGTGCGGTGGGAGAGGTTCTCGATTGGTCAGATACCCTTGGCAGACACCTCCTGAAAAAGGAAGATCAATTTCAATCTGTATTTCTCAAGACTCGGACGGCAACATTCCTATTGTCAAATGAAAATTATCATGTCATATCGACGGCAGAGGGATTTTTTTTTTCAGCTTTAAGAAACCAATGGTGTCCACTGCTCCTTGTAGAAATTTAAAAAGTGCCTTTTGGATTTAGTTGGTAAATAGGCACAAAATTCACAAAAAGTATAACGCTAGCAGATGCTAGCGCATGTGTTTTTACGAGTAGGAGGCAGTGGAAAGAATAAAAACCAAACCAAGCAGTTTGTAACCAACTCCTATACAGCCGGAGGGGAGGGGGAACAGGCAGGGAATCGGCTAACTCCTACAAATCTCACCCAAAGCTACGGTAAAAACTAACTATTTTTCTTCCAGATTTATGTCTATCCCTGCCCCTGCGGCTGTACTACACCACATGCAGAAGAGGGGAAGGGAGGGGGGTCGTCTCGTTTAGGGCGATTAAATGATCAACAACTCCCCCTCCCTCTAGCTCTGTATACCACCACCATGCAAGCCCCGTCTGTCAGCACTCACTGGGCATGCTCCAAGGGGCCATCCCAAGCACGGCGTCTACGGTAGACCAGGCAAGGTAAGGGAGAAGGGAAAGGTGGGGTGGTTGCTAATACCAGCGGTCAGCTGTGCTAGCTCTGCAAACCATTTGATTATGGAAGCTTTTCTTAACATCCAGCTTGATCAGTTTAATGCTGGGGTTGAAGAAGAGCTTCCACAGTCTGTAGCAGAGTCTGCAGAGTCAGAATAGGTGACCACCGGACTGCAACAAAAACTAGCCTGAGGGCCTACAAGGAAAGGAAAAAGGGAGGGTTCTATCGCAGAGTAGCAACTGTGGTTGGTACTAGCTCACTAAATGCGTTCTTCCGGATTCGGCCAAACCAAATCAAAAAGCAAAAAGCAAAAAAAAAATAAAAAATAGGCTCAGGCTCAAATCAAGCAGGACTCAGAAAGATGTGGAAAGACTACCGACCAGCCAGCTCCTTCTCCTTACTCCGTCTCTTTTTCTCCAAGCGTTTCAGTCTCTTCTCCTCCCTGCGCTTGGCCTCTTCGGCCTCCTGGTGGCGCCGGCACTTGTGGAAGTTCTCCACCACCACGCCCACGAACATGTTGAGCACGAAGAAGGCCACAATCAGCAGGAAAGAGATGAAGTACAGCAGCATCCACGGGTTGTGGTTCGTTCTCGGCTAAAACAGACACAGAATACAGAGTTTTTATAGACATTTACAGCAGAAGTCTTCTTTAACTGTGTGTATGCACTTATAAATGACTAACAGATATTATTAGTACATATTTTTGCGTGAATGGCCACAAATGATTTTCCCTTAGCTATAGCCAAATGATATGTGCTCTAAACATATTTTACATGTGTGTACATGTGGGTGTCTGTGTAGAGATATGTGCATAGTTTTGAATGTATTTACCTGTTGGTCAACCGCTACAGCGTCTAGTCCGTTATACATAATATCCACCCAGCCATCTTTTGATGCCAGAACAAACAGAGACATCAAAGCCTGAGACAGAGAAAGAGAAGAAAGCGTAAAACAGAAATACTACACTATAGGGATTACAAAAACGTAATATTATATATATAATAATATAACATTTATGTATTTATTGATCGGGAAGCATTTCTGAAGCCTCACCTGTCCCAGGTTGTCAAAGTTGTACTTGTGTTTATCCCATTTGTAGCCTGCCAGGTAACACGCCGTCTTGTTCTTAATGTTACTGGTATCTTCTGTTTGACAAGCATAGAACTTCCCCTTGAAGAGCTGGGGAGAAAAACACAGACACACCCTTTATTTAAATGGTTAATGCTGAGGGGAAGCATTTACATACATACATTGATATTTCAAATGTGTATATATCTCATATGTTGTATATTTGCAGAAGAGTCAAGATCTTTGTCCAGTAACTTTATTAAAAAATCCATATTATCCAGTTGTTTTTTTGTTGTTGTTGTTTAATTGTAGAGCTCTAGTTAGGCGACATCTCTGTATGCCATTCTTTTATTAATAAATAGTGTGTTGGTCTTTTGGCTGCAGTGAGACCAGCTAGAAGTTCACGCCTGCAGTTGAAGTTCCACTCAACAGTGCTGAGAGGTAGCACTGTTCATGATACCAGGGAGGTGTCTCCTCAACAGGGCGGGAAAACAGCAGAAACACTTTTCCAGAAACGTTTAACGTCCTAACAGAGTCACATTAGCTGATTTTCTTTATGTTAAGCTAAGCTAACTGGCTGCTGGCTGTAGCTGTATATTTACTGTATAGGCATGAGTTTGGTATCGATCTTCTCATCTAACTCTCGGCAAAGTAAACAAATGTGCCCAAATGTCCAACTATTCCTGTAATATGTCTTTTTATACGTTTTATACTCTTTGACCACTTAAGCTTTTTAAAAAGATATCAGAGACACATAAGTTAAAGGTATCTTTCGTTCAGAACAAGACTTGGCAAACATCAGGCTGTGTGACCAACCTGGTTTCAGGTTATAAAATGTTGGTTTAGACAGTAGCTGAATCAGTACAAAATACAGCAGTGGCTAATTGGTATAAAATAATTATGTCAAGAGATTGTGGGTTGCTGAATGGCCACACCCGTATTAGCAACAGTTCCAACACCAGAGGTTATGGACTATGTAGTGAATTCCATGGATGCCTTTTAACGTGTGACTTGTGGGCGTGTGTGGGCTTCCAATTACTGCCTCGTGGTATCGTCATAGCCATTAACCCTTCATGACACTACATTACGTGGACAGATGGTTTATGGACATAAGCATGCTAGATAGACAGGAGCCTGAACTGCACCAAGGGCAAAGAGCTCATTGGTATAGATTAGTCCTTGGGCTGTTAGCCATGAAATCTTCATTGTGACCAGATAAGCCTACATAAGTGTCTTAGAGTGTGAGTTATAACATGGAAAGTGCATGGAAAAGCTATTTTTCTGCAAATAATCTGTGATGTATGTACAACCAAGATGGGACAGGGGACAGGGGACAGTGAATAATTGTGGGAATATTTGTCACATGTCAAACTGTTGCAGCGTGGTAGGAGGAGGGTAATGTTTCTGTGCCACGGCTGGCTCGACTGCGGTCTTACTGCCTCTTTGTTTTCTCATTATTTTCTCCCTCCCTTCTCCTCACCCTTCCTTTCTCACCTGTACTCCCAAGATGCCAAAGATAATGAAGAAGGCGCAGCAGATGACCACGATGTTGCCGATGGGCTTTAGCGATGACATCAGGGTCTCTACCACCAGCTTCAGCCCCGGAGCTCTGCTGATCACACTGGAACACAGCGTAATAATAGGATATTAGTGCAATGCGTGTTTGAGTGTGTATGTTTGTGCAGGTCACTAACAGTACAGCTCATACCAGATGGAGCAGGGATGCCCGCAGCGTTCCAACCCACAACCCCCACGCACCCCTAGGCCCTTACCCTGTCTGCACACACACACACACACACACACACACAAATAAACCCTTTTTTCTTTTTTCTTTTACCACAGTCAGAAACTTCTTCCTCATTTGCACACATTTCAGAACTTTTCAAACCAAAAACACTTGTTGGCTTAAAGACAAAATCACTTTCATCCGTTCCTGCTCTTCTTTCTTTTTCTCTCTTTCACACCTCTTTCTGCTTCCTTTCTATTCTGCAGTCAAGGAAACAGACACATCTAATTAAGCCAATGGACTGATGAGGATGTTTAATTAGTGCCAGCATGGCACCCAGCACCGCACTGCAGCTGAGCTTCTCCGACGGGGTAAAACACAAACACACATACACACACCTGCCAATGCACACACACTTGTCTGCCTAGGCTTTCACACAGGAAACACGCACACACGATACATGAAAACGATATTTTACAGGCAAAGGTGACAGTCTCTTCAGCCTTTGTCTATTAGTCTTGTCGTGTCTCTGTATGTTTTGTATGTTTTCCCAGTTGAGTAAAGAAAGAGTCAATAACGCATTACGAGACGACATAAGAAAATAAAAGGCCAGGGCCGAACAAGGCCACTGATCGATAGCCCTGATCAGAGAGGCTACACGTCATCACTTCACCTCACTGCCTCTCTTAATGTTCTATTGGAAACCATGTTGGGGTGTAGTACCACTGCTGACCTATAGAGGGTACTATTGTTCAAGAGCTACATCTGCCCTGGCTGTGTCTGCTTTCAGGTATGAGAACATAGGGCACAGATCTGAGTCCACTTTCAGTCTGTTTGTCTGGAGAGGAGTTTACCTTTCTATTTATTATGACACAGAAATGTGAAACACTGCAAGAGTCAGATGTTTCAAAGGTATTTTCAAATTATATGCTCATTTGAATTTTTCCCCCTAGATATAGGCAAACTTGCCATCCTTTCATTGGTGCGCGTCAGGGTGAAAACGTTTTTGTCCAGTGGCTACATGGCTAGAGAATGTTTGACCAGCCATTCAATAGATTACCATTGGTTTTGTGCTCCCATATTTTACTAGCATATGCGCCCTGCTCTCTAAAGACTTTAGAAAGTTAGAAATGTGAGGAGATGAAGAAAAACTAGCTTTACATAAAAACACTATAAAAGTGAAGCAAGAAAGAAAGAAAAATATGCAACTTGTTGGAGAAGTCAGTGAGTTTGCAGATCTCATCAAGGGCAGAGAAAACACTGTTTACAGCCGCTACCCGGCTCAGTCCCTCAGATCCCACATTACCTTCAAAAAAAGATGTTTCCACACATTGCTGCTTTGCATATGAAAACCCCAAGCCAACCTCTCTTTACACGTCTTTACATCATGTTCTCCTTTTGAGCTCCACTCCGACAAGTGAAAAGGCTTATTAAGGAGGGGAACGGAGTAGAGACGAGCTTCTTATTATGAGTCAATACACTCTGATGATGCGGTACGTGAAGGACACACACTGCGATGGGCTCCTCTCTCCACAAAGTCTATTTGCATATGACACGAAGAAAAAAAAAAGGATGAGGAGGAGCTGGATGGAGGGAGCCAGAGGGAGAGAAAAGTTAGCTCTCGCTTCTTCTAATCTAGCACTCTGCATAATTTCATAGCCGTTCACAGCGTGTCCTTGTTTTGTGTGATACACAAAGGAGCGGGAAAGATGCACAGCACCTGCACACATGCACCGCCAGTCTCTCTCTCCACCACCAGCATATCCCTCACGCTTAGGAAAAAGAACAACAAGCAAGGCAATAAGTGGCAGGCATGTTCCCACAGTGCAAACACTGGGTGTAATTAAGAGACGTGAGGAGATAGAAATAGGGAATAGAGGGAGGAGAGGAGGGCTGGCGAGTTGCAGGGGTATAGAGGGAATAAAAAACGAGGCAGCTGCTATTTTATCGCTTTTTTTGGTCTAAACTTTGTTCCTGGCTCCACCTTGCTGCGTAAACTTCTTCCCACTCTCCTCTCTTTCAACCTACAGCTGTCCTTCCACTTCAGCTGTCAAACTATACCACTCGCTGTTCTTGTGCCTTTTGGCAAAAGTGAGCGAAATGCTAATGTAAACTGTAAGCTGATGAATTCAGACGCCGCACAAACACAATATAAACGTCTTGAAGAATGGTAATTATGAGCTGAGTTAATTGGCCAACGTCAGCGCTGTCACACACAAGGCGTGAGGGTCAAAAAAGCGTACCCACATTGTGAGAAATCACATAAACTACCCAATGGAAGCCTTGGGATAATTACATCACCGTCAAGTGACGGATGAGCTCAAAGGCTGTGCCGACAGGGGTCAACCACAGGGGGGGAATTGTCAATAAACAGACCTGTTGGCCAGCCACGACCCCACAAAGCTGTTAAGATCAGTCTGCTGTGTGACAGGTACAATTAATGGATACACCCCTGTGGTGTGGAGGGGTTGGGGTTTCTGGGCTGCAGCTTGAATTGTCAATGAGGTGTAGGTGGTGTTGTGCTGACATAAAAGTGCCATTGAATGACACAGGGTACTAACTCCTGGGCTTCCCTGAGGCCGGCCCTCAGCTCAGGTTGTGGGCTTGATGAATGGCCGCAGAGGTGTGTGTGTGTGTGTGTGTATGTGTGTGTGTGTGTGTATGTCCTGTTAAACAAAGCTGATGCATCATTCTGTCATGCACACGGACGAACACACATGCTCGTGCACCCCTGTGGACGCTCCCTTGTGCAATGTAATGCCAGTCATTAATATCTCTAATGAGAAACGAGCACACAAACACATTCACACACACAAAGTCACCCGCCTTGCTGCGATAGTACGCACACACGTAGCAAGCGACTCAAGAATATGATGATGCTGCTGCCTGTGTGAACCCCCACGTGCCCTGCACTGCCAGAGGGGGAAACACAGACAAGCTCATATTTAATGCAAACAGCCGGTGAGCGCGAGTCTGCCGCAATCAGACTGGAGTGACAACAAGCTGATATTGAAACTCACACAGAAGCACTATGGGTGACAAAGCTGTGTCTGCCTGGTGTGGTATGTTTGACAGACATCATTTTGGAGAATTTAGGAGGAAAATGTTTTTTAACTTTATAGCTCGGAGCTTTTTCTCATGAAAATGGGAAAGGAATATATTCTTATGGACATTACTGCCTTATTATGTAGCCAGTAAATATGCATTTCTTTATCTACATCTAACAAACAGTTAGTTTAGTTATGTCTTCCTAAGAAACTTGGGTTTTACTTGATCTGTTTACACAGAAATGAGACTATTAGCCAGAATTAAACTATTTGGGCAGTTGATTAGTAATGAATTCCACTAATGATGAAGAATGAATGAAATTTAGTTTACTAACTTTCTATTTTGTTTACGGACTTTATAAATCAGGAGCAGACCTTATAGTAATACAGGTCTGTCTTTAAGTTTTGATAGTCACAAAACGTCATCTAGGGCTGTGTATTGGCCATAATCTAGTGATACGATACACATCGCGATACAGGGGTTACAATTCCTGCAAGCAAGGCGATATATTGCAATCTTTTTGAGAAAGACTCGGACAGGTCGGTTCTGAGGCCAGTTTCTTTCTTAGCAAGTTTAAATGTTGGCAAATAGGAGTGATCCCTCACGGAGGACAAAAGGGACCAGAATGGGGCAATCCTGACCGGTTGAGTGTGAGAGACAGAGACTGAGTCTGTACCTCTCTTTAGGCCTCAATGTCTTATCAAGCCATTTTTGTATTCACCATGAAGACCCCCATTGAAGTAAAAAGGAAACTAAAATAAATAGGCTATAGATTGATTGAGATCATGATGTAAGGCATCCACAATCTAGTTTTGTAGAGACTGTGATATTTAATGTCCTCTAACTTCTGTTTCCAAACTTCACAGTTAGTTATGCAGTCAATAATGGCTATGCTGATTGGACAAATTACTTTATGGGGCTCTTCCTTGAGTGACGTATTTTAAACAATGCAATTGAGTTGTTAGTACTTAAAAAGTGTGATTTTGATTAAGTTAGCTTTTGACTTCTGTTTAGAATTGCAAATGCATTATAATCACCATTTTGAAACCTGGGTAGAATCTTTAATGCAGTATTTTGTTTAAATGGTACAAATGGAGAAATTCATAGGCTATTTCCAGTCTGGCTGTAGTCCACAGGGCATTTCAGCCAGCTCGTTCAACCTGACTATAGATTTTTAGAGCCAATGTACAGGGTATTTGAGTTTAGGATTCTGTGCTCACTGGTCTAGCTTGGTAGCTCTGTCCTGGCCTACTTCCCACAAAGTTTCAAACTGGCCACTACTTAAATAAGTGAACATTTTAAAAGTGTATTGTATATTTCTTCCCCACCTTTTTTCAGAGGCAGTTTTAGATGCATCAACTAGTCACCAGCCTATACATCTGGTCAAAATAGGTAACTAACACACAGATCCAGGCTTTTAAATAAATAGATTTGGTTTATGTTAATAAGTTTTGCAGAAGCACTGCAGTGCCAACTCCAACTCCACAAATGCTGTTCCCAAACAGTTATTTGTTCACTACTTAACTTGCCTGCAGTACCCTATCACCAAGCCATGCAGTACACTAACAGCAGCACACTCATAGTTTAATAGACTATATCCTTTAATGCTGTGCTCCTTCTTTTGGATTGAAAGTTAATAACTACCTTAAAAATTATTTTATAGTATTACTTTCTCATAACTCTATCTGCAGCCACAGGGGATGAGAGAGCCAAGCCACCAAGCTCAGCTCTTTCCTCTTTCTTTTTACGCCCTCTCCTGTTTCTACTTCACTCACTCTCTTGATACAGTCCTCCTTATTCTGTTTCTCTCTCTGCCATTTTTTATTTTTCTCAAACTGAAGATATCCCTCCCTCGAGAAGTGGTTGCCCTTTGCTCCCGAGAATATTTCTCCCCAAACTTAAAATTTGTCCAATTTCCTCCCGTAATTGCTACATATTTTCTAATCTGACTTTAAAACCTTCCGTACTCAACATTAATACAGCCTCAGCCGCGATGCCCTCTGGGGATTAAATAAGTGAGGGCAAACAGCAGAATGACTTAGAGACTGAAGATCCAGCAGCAGTTAGAGTAAGGTACTCTTTTCAAGTGCTCACTTTGTCACCGCTGCACCAGATCTAATTAGAAAAGCCTTCGTTTGACAGCCAGTGGCACCAAACCAAATTCTGAAGTATGTTGAAGTACGCTGTGTCCTAGCACTCACTTGTAGGAGCTGAGAGTCTATGTTCATTTATAAGAGAGAAGTTATTATCGTTTCCACTCTCTTTCTCAGTTTTCAGTGCCACAGCAATCCTCATGTCAACTTACACAAAAATGATTCCTTTGTGTACATACAGTGACATATACAGATTTAAATTTGGAAATTTGGCCCAAACTAAGTGAATGAGACCCAATATTAATAAACTGGAATCATCCTTAACACACATACAATATAACAATATACGGAAGCCCTGAGAGGCAAGAAAAAAAAAAGTGATTCAAATTTTTAATCTCCCATGTTTATGACTTCAGAACAGGTGAAAAATGGTTGTGCCACAGTAATCTTCCTTAATTTTGTGAAAACTGGTGAAATTACAAGTTTTGGCAGGTGGAAAAAGGTTCTTATTGTTGTAATACTCACTATTGCCATAAGAGGCTGAAGTGCACCACTACCCCTGTTTCTAAATAGGACTAAAAACATTCATGTTTATTCTAGGTTTGTTTGGATTTCTCCACGCACTCTAAACACAAGGTATGTATATTGTTTGTTAGCAAGTCATGTAACATTACTGTCATGTCTTTCTTTTGGCTAGAAATGTATTGTCATTGCCGATTAATTTTAGAGTCTGACCGAATTTCAGCTGGGTTCCATTTGATGTCACACGTACAGTGTAAGCACTCAGGTCATGGCTTACAGATCGGACCGTACATTGTGAACACATAAAACGTGAGCTTTGGCTTTATATCGCATGTACAGTAGGAGTAGAAATTAAACAATATCTGTTCAGAGATGAAAAAAACTAACTTAGATTCTCCTGGCAAAACCCCTTTTTCTCACCTTTTCTGAAGTGATAAAACAATTTAGATCAGACTCAGTGTCAGTGAACAGTGTCCTTACAAATACACCCAAACATAGTGTCAAATTATACAGTACAAACTCACTACCTAAGTACACATCCCTAAGTATAACAGTATGAACTCAATAAAGAAAGTAATACTTTTTGAAGGCAGGGAGAGCGAAATAAGTCTCAGCACAAGATTTCACTTTCATGTTAAAGGTGAAAGTTAAACCAGAACGACAGAAGAGATCAGTGGTGTTTAGTGGGAAAATTTGGCAGAATGAAAATGAATATTTGATTTTCCTGCTTTTCTTGAGAACTGTGATAAATATTCAAGGAAGAGCAAAGCCTTGAGAGCTCCCCTTCACGAGATGAAACTGAGCATTGTGGCTGTGAGCCAAGTCGAGCGTGAAGCCACACGAATGCAAATGGTACACACGCAAACATACATACACTGAGGCTAAAACTAAAGCAGTGTGCATGCGTAAAAACAAAAAGACACACATTGTTCATCGTCTCTGTCACACACTCAAACACACATATTTGGAGTTGTAAGTAAAAACACAGCCACCAAATTGGTGATTTCCGCCTTATTTCTGCTCAAATAAACATAACTGAGCAACTGTGTACACGCTGACAATATCACACGCATGAATGCACACCAAAATAAATTCCTGCACATACAAAAATACACACATATCTCTCAAAAGTTCCAAAAGGTGGTACATCTCAGAGCTGAGAGAAAGCTCTGTTTGTTTCCACCTCCGTATTAAAACAATACATCCACACCAGGAGCTTTTATCATCCTCTGACACTGGGAAATGGAGAGGTTTAAACCTATAAGATTGGGTTTAAGACTTTATTTTATGATTCCTATCAACAGTTTCAGGGGTGGTTGTCTTTCTTCTCAGCATGTTTTGTTTGTCCACACTTTTTGGCAGTCCCTGGGAGAGCCACTTACCGTAGTGGCCTCAGGGTCCTCAGCAGCCTCAGCACTCTGAGCATTCCCAGGATCTTGGTACCAGAGTTGGAGATGAGATACACCAGAATGTCGATGACAGAAATCGTCACCAACATCCCGTCCAGTACGTTCCAGCTGCTCTTCAGGTAGGCCTTCTTCCCGAAACACCAGCCCAGAGCTACAATCTGGACACATATAAGGACACAGAGGCATGGTACATGAACATATATCAGAGTGCAGTTAGTGTACTGAGCATACGTCACAATGGGTAAAACTGCTGTGGTGCACATCATTTTGGGATACATCTAAAATGTATTATTAACTCCAAATGTGAGTGGCATAAAATGATACAAGAATCAATAATTCAATATCTGTTTTTTTGTCTGCGTGTTTGCAGATTTGTTTGTTATGAAGCCATCTTCTGTATTTGTTAGGAGTTGATGCTTAAAGTCCTATATGCACAGCTTATTGACTTTGTGGAGCGATTGTTTACTCAGAACTTGGCAGCGAAGATCTTAAAAGCTGCAAGCGCTTTCCAAACCTAATTTCTAATTCTATAGGTTCCACTCATCATTTATTCTGCCCATAAAGCAATTTGCATTCCAGAAAATAATAGAGACTGGCTGGCTTTGTGCTTTTTAGCTCAAACTTATTAAATCAGTGCAGGACGATTATTTTTGCTTTCATGCATTTCTAAACACCTACTGTAACTGAAAAGATGAGAGAGTAAGAGAGAGCGGGAGATGGATAGATTTACATTAGTTGATGCTAATCAATGCATAACAGTACATACTGTATATGAATAGTGTGGCAGGGGAATCATCAAAGAGGCTGATCAAAACTTATCAACAGAGAAAGGTCACAGAGAGTCCTGACAGCTTCGACTGACTCTTCAAGTACTTAATTGTTATGCTTAAAAGTTTGAGGTAATAACACTTTACCGGAGTATTTCCATTTTCCATACATTATTATTTTATGGCACTAATTTCAAAGTCATCTATGTTTATTATAGTAAATATTGTAACAGCCATCGGATAGTAGCAAAAAAATAAAAACAACATGGGACGAAAGAATTAGGGGATTGACAGATTGAAGACAAACATTTTCTTGTGGAACACAGGGAGTCACTTACCAGTACGCCGTTGCATATGGTAACTGTACTAGCTGTATCTGCACTAGGAGCTCAAAAGAAAGGGGGGGGGGTTAAACACTACTAATGCAGGAGTGGAGGAACGAGCGGCTTACAGCCTCAATGGAGGCCAGCTGATTTACAGCGGCTCCGACCAGGACTGTGACTCTAGGGATAAAGGGTTCAGGCAGGGACATGAAAGGAATGAGACAGAGGAAGAGGAGCGAGTTTGAAGTGAGTTAATTTGTAAGAAGCTGTTATATATCATCCATCGTATCTAAGTCTGTGACTATTTGTTTTTGTGAAGTTGGAAGTTATTTGTTGCATGTTTTGAATGATGAGACTTATGTGATGTTATACCCTGTTGAAAGTTAACTAAATGTTCCATCTCCTTGCTGGTTGTTCTGACACATTCAGGTTAATTACCGCTTTTTTAACAGGCGACTGTTAAAATCTGTATATTTAAATAATTTAATTAATATACATAAAGGTGTGTCGACTAGTCAACTATTGGCTTTATCTAACGACGAATAGTCGACTAGGAAAATCTTTAGTCGGGGGCAGCAAAATGTCCTTTGTAAAGCATCAAAAGTACTCCATGTCACTAATAAATTCTGGTTACATTATTATTAATACTGATGTATTCATTTTGCAGCATTTACTGCTGTAGCTGGTTTAGCTGTAGTTGGTTTTAACTATACTTAACTATAAGGCAGCTATGTCCAGTGGTTCCCAAACTAGAGGTTTGGCCCCCCCTTCAAAGGCTCACAAGATACATCCATCAATGGGGCAGGAAAGAAGAAATACACAAAGTTCTGCTGCACATGTTTCTTTGGACTTTTTTCTAATCTTTGATTTTTTTGTGAAATGTCAGAAGCCAAAAAGGTCAGGAACCACTGGTTTAAACTTTGCAGTGTATTATGTAAACTGATCATCTTTTTTCTTATCTTAAAATCTTTCTCTGAAAGTAAACAGTAACGTCAGCTGTTACATAAATGTAGTAGAGTAAAAAAAAATTTCCCTCTGAAATGTAGTGGGACAGAAGTACATGAAAACTGTACTCAGGTACAGTAGATGTACTTGGTGACTTTAACTTTGAATGCTGGACTCTTTCTCATTTGTAATGGTATATTACCAACACTTATGTAAGTGAAAGATCTTGTCTGCTGATAACCAATCATCGGTTGTGTCAAGATTACTTGAAAACTAAATGATGAAACCAGTGCTCTCTCTCTCTCTCTGTGTGTGTGTGTGTGTGTGTGTGTGGAAGGCCCTACATCCGTGAGCACGCCAATTGCACTGAGAACAGAAATAGAGACAGAGACTTTGAATGAGTGACACCCGTGAACTTTCCTCCCCTCTGCCTCTGCCTCTGCTCGCTCCTGCCCACGCCTGCATTGACCTCCATTCAAAGCTGGTCCATTTGAATACTGGCGAGACAATCCTCCACTTAGCATTATGAAACAGCCCCGAGAGTGCGTGTGTGCACATTGTGCGTGTTCACCGAATGTTTGAGTCTCAATCTCTCATTCTCTTCCTCCCCTTCCTCTCCCTTTCCACCCTCTTAACTCTGTTTTCTTTTGTATTTTTGGGGGCTTATGGTACACGCAGGTATCAGGCAGACTGTATTTTCTCTGCAGCTTTGTGTCTAAGCGGTTTTTGGAGTCTGGTTCGGGTTCCTTCATCTTATGCAAAATGTTTGTCAGTTAACACAGATGTGTCACACCTTGTTTTTTTCAAAACTGGAGACGAATGATAAGGGGTCTTCGATATGAGGCAACCAGTGCTTTTATGTTCGCAAACAATCTGGCCTGATCAAATATTCAGTGGCATAACAGTTGATGTCAACTGAGTAAGTAAGAACAGAACTCAGCGATGACTTCATGGAAGAGTGCAAAACAAATGCGTACCTTTAAAATGATGACTCTTTCAACTAGCTTAGGCTTAGTAGCCTAAGTTTACATGTAATCCATGATGATGAAGATATAGAGAAACAGAAATGCATGGCAAAAATGACATATTGTTAATATTTTAGAGACCCCCTAAAATTTCAGAAATTATGTTTTATGGGGAGCGTACAGTATGTCTTATTAAGAGGAGCCCAGCTCCCCCTGGCTCCCCTGCAGTTTGCACCCTGCATAATGGATAAAATTACCAAAATCTGTCACAAAACTTGCACTGAGGTTTAAAAAAGAGTGTCTCACCTTTATAGTCATCTCAGCCACAAAGATCGCTGTGAAGATGTAGTTGGACAATTTGAGGAAGATCCGCTCCTGCAGTAAAGAAGGCAGAAAGACCTGGTTGAGCTGAGGTACAGTACATGCACCAATAGCAAATAATAAAAGAGTTCAGCTGAATAATGTATGAAGGAGCTATTTCACAAACTGTTTTCCCTGTTGCACTCACTCATGATGGCTGACAGGCAAATAGAAAGTTTACTGCTTATTAGCACTGCAGGAAGTTTTCAAACAAGGCATCTAATCTTTAGGCCTAAAATCTTATGTTTCTTTTATATATGACAATGTTATCCACAGTTTTGTTTAGTGCAAATAGAACAAAAATTGCCTGAATCAGCTGAATTGCAGTGGGAACAAGTGGCATTATATCACCTGTGGAACACTTGGCTTCAGTTGTGTCGTGAAACAAGAATTTAAGGCTGAAATTGGCAGTTTTCCAATGACAGGAGCATGTTGCATCAGGCCCTTTATTGTTTCATCAGAGATAAACAGTCCATTCAAAAAACAAGCACCGTCATTTTGTTTTGTGAACGTGCATGCAACAAAACCATCAGGACGGAGCTATTAGATCTCCACCTATACACACATTACTGCACTCCATGCTTCCCTAATTGCCAGAGGCAGCATGGCTCAGTGGTGTGTGTGCACGCAGCAGAGGATGGGAGCCTATTTACTGAGCTAAACAAGGACTGAGGAGAGAAAACAAGCAAGCTAGCAAGAATAAGATCCCTTCACTGACTGCTTATTTACTCTACTTCCCCTCTGTCTGAGGAGACACAACCCCGTCCTGCCACTGACTGTCTATGTACTGCGTGTGTGTGTGTGCGTGCATGTGAGCGGGTGTAGGTGGCTGCCTTTCCCACGGCCTCCGACTACCATCACCCATGCTCCGAGGAACACAAAATCACACACACAAACACAGACATGGCAGTCCTGCAGCGTTTTTCGTGAAGTCTCTGGGAATGTTAGGCATGACATCACTGGGAATGCTGCCGTTAAGAGGTTTTATAAATTCCACTCTTGACAGCAGCCATTCCTGTCCTCTGTCAACGAGTTTCCATACTTTCATTCATTACAAACTAACAGGCTTGTGGTAGGAGATGAGATTAGAGCCGAGAGAAAGTAGAATGTAGGGGGAGGAACAGAGAGATAGAGGGGCAAATTCATGCTATTCATGCTATAATGAGACATGAATTCACCAGTTTGCCTAAATTTGCTGTCGGCCCAATCAAAATCTGGCAAAAAGCTGGAGATTTAGGTGTGTATAATCATGTTACCAGCTGTAGCCTACAAGCTGTTAACTTTAGCTTGGGCAGGTTACGCAAATATACCTTGCTAGCTGAAACGTATGTAAAGCTGTAGCTATGTTAGCTAGCAATCCTGCAAAAATAAAACAATATTAACTTTAAGTTACCCTTTGCATATGTGTGCTTATTTATTGTTTATTTATTTATTTGTATTTGTCCAACTGAAAGGAAAAAAAGAAAAACCCCCCAAAAAACCTACTCTTAAACTTTATTTCTGCAGCTTTCCACAGTAACGTTAGCCCAAAATAACCATTTTAGCAACATAGCTTGCAAAAAGGAAGTGAGTTTTTTGTGCTTATATTTTGGCTAATGATGAACATAAAATCTGCTGAAAATTTGCTCCAACATTTTGTAGCTTGCTAGCCAAATAATTACATGTAAATGGCTGTAGCCATTTGAGCTATCTAGCTAGCAAAAATGAAGCAATAAGAGAAGTGTAAATAAAGAATTAGACACAAATTCAGAATCGTATCCAAGTCTAAACTGTAACAAATTTGTTAGCATGTCAGCTGTTTCCATTTTAGATACCAAAATGAAGCAAAGTATCAACTTTAGGTTGTTTTTTTCATGTTATTTGACTTACTCGACTTAAATGAACCAAATAATAAAATAAACAATGTTAAAGAAACTGAACATTTGCTCTCTAGGGGGCTAAATATAGTTTGCTAGCTAAAATATTGCACATAAAGAGCTGAAACCATTTAGCCTACTAGCCGACCAAAACACAGAATCAACTCAGTCAAATAAGTAGCCTAATTAAAAGTTAATTAAAAGTTGCCCGAGTGCTTTCCCCCACGATTCTCATTTTCAGGTGATTGAAAGAAACAGATAGGAACCAAGGGCTCAGATGAATTAAAACATATCCCTTTTGCTCCCTTCTCATTCCTTATCTCTAACGGTGGTGGTGTTATTGCCAGTTCAACGCCTGGATTCCAGTGTGTCTGACAACAACTCAGGGCACCAAGCAAGCCGTCAGCCTGAAAAGATCATTGTTGCTCGGCTTGTTTTGAAGTCATGCAACAGAGGCCAGCAATGACTTAAACTGAGAGGCACTTTGCTTAGTTACAAAACAGTCAAAACAATAAACCAAACACTTCCAGTGGGTTAATCTACAGTGCTCCACTAGGCATTGTACACTGGCAGCCCCTAGATGCTGGAGACGCACAGTATCTCTCTAACTTTTAAGGAAATGTATAATGATAGCAATAATTTAATAGGTCACTGCACTGTTACATAAAAATCCTGCTTAATGCAGCATTCAGTTATGCCGTTACAAAGCCTTCCTGTATTCCTGTGCAGCACAAAACGAGAGTCAGCCCACACTTCCTGGAAAGCTTTCATCACAGACAAGTGTGCAGCGCCATCTCTCTATCTTAATGTTGTACGGAGCAGATGACGTGGATGCAGGAAACTTAGATTGATTGTATTTTATACTGTTAATGCTGATATAATTCAATTTTAACCTCTAGACAGTGATGTATTGTCCCCTAGCTCAATTAAGAATAATACATCGTAATAGGTGGTATAATCATCCTCAATCATTTCCACTGAGCTACAGTATCCAGGCAACCTCCAGCACTAAACCAAAACAGCAAAGGACTGCAAGCCAAATACAAAGTGTGTGACATAACTTCCAGGACAATAAACTAATTATTCAGCCTGCATTCCACACTAAAATGTTGTGACTAAAAGATTTTATCTCTGTAACAATGAGTACATTTCTGTTTAAAGAATAAAACACGTCTTCTGTCAGGCTGGCACCGCGGGTGATGTAAAACAGGTACTTTAAAAGAGTAGCAGCGGAATGATAAATTATACATGTTTGGTTGTTATACAGAGCCAAAACAGAACCAGCGAGTGGAGATCGATTCACACAATCGGCTTCATTAATTCAAAACATCCCACACAGACAAACAGATAGCATCATGCAATGACCACCCGGGCAAATGAGATCTGGCGCAATAAGCATCACAGCTCAAACCCGTAATGACTGCTCATTCTCTTGTTTTGGGCTGCTTGCTGCGTCATATATTTCCATCTAATTTCAATAATGGCCTCAGGGTGCCGACTGGACATGGCGGCCACGGCAGGAAACTGACAAAATACATCCGCATCCAAAAAATACTGCTCTCTGATGTGAATGTCAGTGTGGCTGCAGTGGTGGATTTTGTATTTACATATGTGCGTGTGCAAAGGTGAGAGACATGAATTCATCCCATCTACTTGTGTGTGTGTGTGTGTGATCTCTCTGCCCTGATTAGACCGGGCTGCCTGTGGGGCGGCCTCCATTTGTTAAACATCTCCTTTCCTGGACATTAGCCACGTACGCCAGCCCACAGATAATTGAATCAATTACAACGACACTGTCTCCTCCGTGTTTCAGTTGCAAAACAAGCAGAACGGAGCGTTCCAGCGAGACCGAACCGCAATTAGGCCCATCCACGGAACACCTCGCTCAGCGAGAAAAAAAAAATCAAACAGTGATAATTATTGTGTTTATGCATAGAGCGGCTTGGCTGTGTTCTGCTGCTATTGCTGGAAGTAGGAAAGGACACACAGTTAGATATATGTGTGTGTGTGTGTGTGTGT